TGCAGTAAAGGACATCTTAGTTACTTTCAGGTTTTAGCAAATATGAATTAAGCTGTTATAAACAACTGAGTGAAGGATTAAGTTGTTATAATCTGAGTGAAGGATGTAAGTTTTCAACTCCTTGGGGTAAATTTCAAGGATGGGGATTGCTGGATTGTATGTTAAGAGTATGTTTTGCTTTCTAAGAAACTGCCAAATGTCTCTCAGAGTCACTCTTAACAGTGACAGGAGTAATTGGATTAGGAAAAGTAAAAGATGAACCTTAAACATTATTGTTCTGGAAAATAAGAAGGTAGTTAAAGAATGGTAGGGACATGTCAAAAGATCTACTTTGGAGAAGCTTTCACTAGCCAAAAAAAAATAGGAATTATAGATTATAACCTATTGAAAAAAATAAGAACTAGTGGTAAAGTAATGAGTAAGTAGGGGAGAAGGGAAAGCTCTTTAAAAGTATGGATACATATAGAACAATTATTATAATACTTTCACACCAGAACCATCTGCAGGAATCAAAAGTACTGGGGAGTATGATTATTTATATAGCTTCAAGATAATTCCTTATAAAATATTTCCTCATTACAGAGAAAAAATAGTAAATTTATAATGGAGATGTCTTGTAGTAAAAAAACTTTAACCAGTTGGTCAAAGTTAGACTGATATTGGAACCTACTAGCATTTTGCAGCTTGTGCTATGATAACATAACATTACTTTGTGACATTCCTACTAAAAATGCACAGATTGAATTTAAACATTAGACCCATCAGAAACCTAAATTGAAGGATATTCTATAAAATAACTGGTTTGTATTCTTTAAAAATATTACCCCTAAGAAACACAGACCAAGGAACTGTTCTATATGATAGGATTCTAAGAGGCATTATGACTAACTACAGTCAATACATGATCCTGAAACAGATTCTAGACTGGTAAAATTAGTAGCTTTAAAGGACATTTTAAAGACAGTTAGTGACATTTAAATATGGACTGTAAGTATATAATAGCAATTTTAACATTGATACAATACTGATTTGATTAACTTTAATTATATAAGCAAATATTTGTGTTTCTAGGAAAATACATGGAAATATTGAGAGCTAAAGCAGTACATGTCTGCAACTCAGTTCCACATGATTTGGAAAAAAATGTGTGAGAAAGAATGACAAAGCAAAGGTGATCATTGTAAATTTTTAATTGGTATACATAATTAGTATTTATAAATTTTTAAAAGTGACTTTAAGATAAAAGTACTTAAAATCCCTAAGTTTTTTTCATATGGGTTGTGGCTAAACCAACTTGATCTTATTATTTACTATAGAATTCATGAAAAGGACAAAAAATTATCATTTAGAGAAAATAAAAGAGTGAAGGAAATGCTATCAAGTAGAAAAATTACAAATTGTAAAATACTGAGTAGAAGGACGTTATTTATTTTCAGTTTTTTGGTTTGGGTTCTGTCATGTCCTAGAAACCCCTTACACATCTCATGTTTTATATTCATTTCCTACATAACATAAATTTTAAAAGGGTGCTTTATAAATTTCGATGATCTTTGTTCTAGATAAATACTTGTACAAATTTAATAAGAAAATTTGAAAGGCTTTTATGTAATTACTTGTTAATAAGGGACAATTTTTGGGAGTAGAAGTTCTTTATTCAGTACTTAAATTAATAAGCATAGTCATTTAAGTAATTTGACAAACAACATCCGTTAAAACTCACATTGAGGGCCCTCCCTGATGGCGCAGCGGGTTAAAGCACTGCACTAAGAAGCTTAAGCCAATTCCTCATGCATGAGTTCGATCCCCGCCTACCCCGGAGGAGATCCACATGGCGTGGCAGACCTCTCCTGACCCGCCCACTGCTCCCCTCAGCTACAAATAGTTGGGTCAATCTGCCTGTTCTGCTCCCCACTCTGTTCCTGGTGAATCTTCTCACCCTCCACATCTCTGGCCTGTACCCTAATTCTTTATGGATAAATAAATAAATCTTTAAAAAAAAACTCATATTGAACATAGTATTGATGACCTTTTGTTATTCCTATCTTTTCTTTCTAAAAGATTCTTGTCATCTAACTTTATCATAAATAGCTATCTGGTAAATGCAGGTATTGAAAGAAATATAGCAACAGTGATAGTTTAGCTTGTTTTGACAAAAAAAAATGCCAGATATGGATACACATAATCACTCTTTAGTGGTAATGATAGTTGTAAAGCTACTTAGGCTACAAATAGTTGGGTATGTGTAGTGTATGTAAACTCCATGCTCTGTGTAGTGAGAGGAATGAAGATGAATCAGCTATGTCCTCTTAAAGTATGCAATTGAAAAAAAATATACTAAGTGGCATGGGTGAAAATAATAAGAGGTGGCACTTGAGCATTAATTCTGAAGAAGAGGTAGATTTGAGAATGGGAGAAATGGCGAAGGAAAACATTATGTACTTTCCGTTAGAAACAAAGATGAATTCTTGCCATTTGCCACAACATGGATAGCACTGGAAAGGATAATGCTAAGTGAAATAAATCTGAGAAACAAACACTGCATGATCTCACTTACATTTGGAATATTGAGAAATAAAACACAGAGGCAGATGAAACAAGACCAATAACAAACCCTTGAATTCTGACTGCAAAACTGAACAACTTAAAGAGGAGGATACAGAATGGATGAGGGGCAGGGAAAGGGCCAGTGGAAGTTATTGGGCCTTTGCTGTTGTGCATGGTGTGAAATATTCTGGAGGTTTGAACCTATAAACCCTAAGACAAATACAGTGATTTACCAGCATTACCCTAATAAATATAATGAGAGAAAATGATTAGAAGAAAAGCATTCTATGTCGGGGGAGCTGTGCGGTTTGTGAAAGGAAAGCACAATAGTATATATGGGGCAACCAATAGGATTTGTTCACATTGATAAAGAAAGAAAAGAAGAGAACTAATGCTCTGGAATGTCATTTTTCCTGTGCCAATTACTGTACATTTATTTTCTTATTTAAACCTCACAACTTTATGATCTAGATTTTGTTTTTCCTTTTTTAATAGTGGACACTATGCAAGAAAATGAATGAATTGTAGCTATGATCAACAGTAGATGACTCATAATGTTTAGTGAAAAATCAAATGCATAAAAATACATATTGGATCTTTTTTGTGGAATTTGAAAATAGAAAAAACACATTGTGATGTTAGAAGTTAAGGTAGTATGTTTGTTGGGGGCATGGGTGCTGACTGCAAGAAATGGCTTCTGGGACGGGACTAATGTTTTCCTTTTGCTCTAGGGGCTAGTTAAATGAGTGTGTTTCCTTGTGAAAATTAATTGAGCTGTACACTTATGATTTGTACATTGTCTTCTATATTTATAGTACTACAATAAAATCTACCAAAATATTTTTTAATCTTGTAAATCTGTTATGAAAGACACATTTTAGTGTCTTTTTCATGAAGGTTCAAATGTTAAATTATTTAGAAGTAGAAACAGATACAAACAACTAGGCTTCCTTTTATTAATTCATTCTCTATAACTCTCTGAAAAGAGTTATTCTTTTGTGTCTTGAAGTTTTTATTCTTAGAATAAATGGTAAATGAATGAATAAACAGCTCTGTTATTTCAAATGTTTTTCTCTTAATTTTTCTACATAAGCCAAAATTTCTTATGAAATTCTAAGCTAGTACATGAAAGTAAATGGCAGTTAAAAGATACAGCCATTATTATTGATTTCCTATTGAAAATGTTTTTTTAGATTTATTTAGTACATTTTCATACTCTGTCTTCTAGCTTGGTAGTAACTAAAAGGCAATAGTTATATAATAACCGAAGGAAAGCACTTTACACTGCTTTGTGTTCACAAATGCCATATCGTCAATGAGTTAATTTCACTTTCTAATGCATTAAATGTATTCCCTTTTAAAGCCCATGTCAACTTGTACCTCTTTTAAAACATTTGCAGCATTTCTTTATAAATTCTTTTTAAAGTCCTTCCTTAAGTGTAATAACCTAGTGGATAGAGATTGTCACTCCTCCTAATATTGAGGATTGTGATTGCATTGCTCACAGTAGGAGTTCTATAAATATTCTATCTGCTTTGCCTTATTGGAGGACTTCCCTAGTTTCTTGTTTCTAAGCTTATAAACCAATTTGATAACTTAATTTTTCTTGTGTTATTTTCTTCCTTAATCAGAAATCTCTAATATGCAGTTCAATAGATACTCTTTTTGACTACTTCACATTTTGAAGGCAAATCCTAGTTTTATAATTGTATTTCTATTACCCTTTTTCCAATTGTATATTTTCCTTGGGGACAGAGAGCTATGCAAAACAAACAAACAAAAAATTACAAGCCAAACAGATTTTTAATGTTTTGCAGAACTGTTTACTACAAGGAAATGAGTAGAATTTTCAGTTTTAGTTCATATGAGAAGGGTTAGTAACATGGAACACATATGTAAACATGGAGCTGATAGAGGTGGTTTTAAATAAATTGCCCTTGTGTTCTAGTGACCTCTGGGTCCATTTTCTACTCCTGCTTTTCTCTTATGAAAATTTCCTTCCTATCAGTGTCAGTGTCAGGAATCAATCTTTCTGGGTATCTCTTCCTGCTGAATACTGCTAGTCTTTGAAATGATGTGTGGAATGGGATTTGTGAGCACTGCTCTCAATGAACAATGTCTTATCTGTCAATTTCTTTAATGTATATATATTATTACTTTATATTTCAAAGATCCAGTAATTTTATCTGTAGGCATTTGACTTTATCAGGTGGGGAAGGAGTCACTTGTTATAAATTAGAGGAGACTGGTTCTACATTAGCCTGCCGGTCTTACAGTTACTGTGTGCCTTGGAGTTGGCATCTTTGTGACAGCATTATAATAAAGTCCTTTACTCTGGAGGAAATTGAGAACCTTTTTTTTTTTTTTAATACCTATGCTTTGTTTGAAGTTACCATCAGTGTAACATAGCAGTAATGTTACAATTTTGTGAGATGTTTATTATTCTCATTTTACAGATGAGGAATCTGAGGCTTGGTGAAGTTACGAAACTTGTCCAAAGTCACACAACTTGTAAAGGGCACAGCCAAGATTCAGAGCCAGGTCTGTGCAACTTCAAAACTCTTAATCATGGCCATGAAACTTTGAGATAACTGTGACATATCAACCTATGATAAGTGATATTGGTAGTACATTACTTAGTTGTTATATAATTCCGGTTGATAAAATTTGTAATGGTGATTTTTTTTTTTGTCCATAATATTTTTTTGTATCTTCAAATATTGTGAAAAGACATATAACAGAATAATTGAGGGTCTGGACTCTGAAGACAGACTATTTGAGTATAATTCCCTAATTTTCTTCACTTGTGTGACATTGGGAAAGTTACTTAACTTTCTGTATCTCAGTTTCCCTATATGGAAAATGTAGATGATAATATTACCCAACTGATAGGGTTGTTGTGAGGATTAAGTGAGTTAATATGTACAAAGCACTTAATAATAGTATTTGGCACACAATAAGCAGTCAAATTAACTCTGAGTAAGTTAGGCCTAAAGACTTAGTTCTGAACAACTTCAGATCTATTGTAAAGCAATGTGGGTAATTGCTTATAAGTGTTATGTGCACAAAGGGATTATATGTGTAAGGCCTACACATAGCTCTACGAGTGGTAGCCATTGAGCCCAGTAAGATCATTGTATTATGTTGTTTTTTTTTAAAGATTTATTTATTTATGCTTACAGAACTGGCCAGAGGTGTGGTGGGTGAGAGGATTCACCAGACACAGAGTGGGGAACAGAACAGAGAGATGTACTGAAACACACTGCAGAGGGGAGCAATGGGCAAGTCAGGAGAGGTCTGCCTTGCCATGTGCGTCATCTCCCTTGCCAGGGATCAAGCTTGTGCTGCAGTGGCTTCTGAGAATGTCACAGTGTGGAGCTTTAGCCACCAGGGAGAGCCCCATGAGTGTGTTTTATTGTGTTTCTCTTGTAAATGCAATTTTCATATGGAATAAATGTGGCGTTATTCCACAGTTGGTGGAATAACCAAATAGTGTTTGGCAAGTTCACAGGTATTTTCAAGAACCAAAACTTTATATGTTGTATAAAATGTAGGCAACATTTTATCATTTGCAAGAGGGTTTATCAGAATTTTGATTGTGGTGATGACCTTTGGACCCAAGGGGTCACAGCATATGCAACTCAGACTCAGCCATATACAAATTCTGTTTTTCCCTTGTACTTCTTCATTGAAGCTGTCAGAACTCTGAAGTGCTATAAAAACTATTACTACAACTTAATTACAGTAAAATACTTATGATCAGTACTGACAAACTTATATCACTTGAAAAAGTATACATAAGTGGGAGTCATTTGAGGCAAGTTATGAAAAATACATTTAATCTACATAATGCATTAAATTCTCTTTATATTGCACTTTGCTATCCTTGAATATGAATATCTTTGTAGTTATTTAAATATTTAAAGATATCTTCCAGTAAGGTTTTTCTGTGTAAACATCTCATAAGTCTTCTCTTAGATTTAATTACTAGATATCTTATTTCTTGTTACTATTCTACATAGTATATTTCCATTTTCTATTTGCTTATATTATACAAAGTTTTTTTCAATTCTAATCAGTTACCTTACTAAATTATTTTGAACTGTTATAAGTACAAATTGTTCCTGTACAATGCTTACTTGTCTTCTTTTTCTTGCCTTCTATCCTACTTAGGATTTCCAGTATTGTATTTGATACAAGTATTAACAGTGGGCATCCTTGTTTTGCACCTAATTTTTCAAAGGAAGTGCCTATTATGTTTACCATTAAGAATAATGATTGCTGTAGGATTTTGATAGATTCTTTATAGAATAAAGACATTTCTGTGGTTAGTTAGCTAAGATGTGTGTGCGAAAGAATGAATTTTTAATTTTATCAGATATTTTTTCTGCATCTGTGAGATGATTGTTTTGTCCTCCTTTATTTTGTTAATGTGGTGACCATTCATAGATTTTCCAGTGTCATAGTACCCTTGTATTGCTAGAATGAGCCCAGCTTCCACATGGTAATCTGTTTGTATTTATACACCTGGATTTAGTTTATTGGTATTTCATTTAGGAAATCTGATTCCACAAGTGACATTGGCCCATTGTTTTTATTTTTTGGTTCTTACTTGATTTCAGTAATAAATTATGCCAAATTCAAAAAATGAGTTGGGAACTAATTATTACCCTCTTGAAAGGATTTATGAAAGTTGAGAATGATGTGCTTCTTTAAAGTTTGGTTAAAAGTCTGTTCAGTTATCTAGGTTTAATATTTGTTAGGAAGGGTGTGGAATTAATATTGGGGGGAGGGGCATGCATGTTTCAATAGGTTTATTTAGGATTTGTTTCTAATTAGGTGTGCTTTTAGAAAGTTGTTGCTATTTTAGGACTCCACTTTGTCATTTTGAATTTTTTAAGTATTTGGCATGAAGTTGTTCAAAACATTCTTTTGCTATATTTTAACTTCTGCTATATACATATTTCTCTTTTTTATCCCTAATACTTTTTTCCTTAATCTGTCTTTCTAGAGGATATCTATCTATATATTCTTAGTTTTATCAAAAACCAGTGCTTGACTTTGATTTTTTTATATCGTATATTTCCTGTTTCATTAATTTCTGACCTTTCTCCATTCTATAATTTTTACGTGAAAAGCATTATTTAATATAAGGATAGTGGTATCAGGTACAGGATTTTATCTAGCCTTAGGAACAACTAGACTAGTGACTTCGAATGCTATAGGACCTTACTCCTTTTTCCATTGTGGGTCCATTTCTGCCTCTTGCTGTCAACTTTTTTTTCTACTCTTCAGTCTTTGTCGCAGAAAATGGTAACAGTGAGCTATGAATTTGATGTTAATTCCAGCTTTGTGTCCTTGTAATTTCTCTAGGGTTTTTGGATTATCCCATCTAGGTCACATTCTTTCTGAGTATTTTTTTATCAGGATTTTCTATAATGAGGTTTTCAATAGTAAACTATACTTTTTGTCTGAAAGTTATCTATCACCCTCATTCTTGATAGTTCATTAGGTATAAAATTATGGTTTGAATTTTTTCCCCAAAGCATTGGAAGAAATAAACCTTCTCTGTTCTGGTTTCCATTGTTGTTATTGATAAATCAGCTGCTTAATAGTCATTCATTTGAATGAACTGTCTTACTTGCTTTTGGCTACTTTTGACCTCTTTGCTTTTTGTTTTTTAGTTTTTGACATTCCATAGACTGTACCTAGGTATCGATTTCTTTTTATTTACCCTGTATGGCATTTTAACCATGAAAATATTTATAGAAAAAATTTTGTGAGTAATTTTTGTGGCCCAAGAAGGAAATGACATTGATTCAAGAACATTAACCTTTTTTTTCCAGAATACTATAGTTTGGTGAATAAATTCATCCCTTGAGTTTTTTTGTGTTTTTTTTTAAGATTTGTTTATCTATTCAGAACTGGGGTATAGGCCAGAGGTGCCCAGGTGGTGAGAGGATTCACCAGAGATAGAGTAGGGAGCAGAACAGGCAGATTGACTGAAGTACACTGCTGAGGGGCAAGACAGGAAAGGTCTGCCATGCCAGTGTGGATCACCTCCCCAGGCTGGGAATCAAACTGCACTGAAGCTGCTGGACTTTAACCCGTTGGTGCCACCAAGGAGGTTTTATATTGCCCAAATAAGATTGAGTTGGAAATATGTGTGGGAACAACTTAACTTTATATCCTATTAGGATCCTTGTCGTCTTCTGCTAACAGAAAGACAAGCTTGTCCTTTGATGGTAAGATGATAAATGGGTAGATTGGACTTATTTCTGGTTCATGTGGAATTACTGAGCAAAGTAATAAAAAGTTCACCTTTTTTCTGAAACTTGGGACCCCAAGTTTATGGAGAACAGGTCACTATTTTTTGTTGTTGTTGAGTGGGTTTTAAACCCTGACTTGTGTTATCCTCAATTGTTAACAGTTAACTTTGCAGCACTTTTTCTAAGTCGAACATAAAATAATGGTGTTTACAATTGTTATATTTTGCAGTTGACATTGAGAATATCTTAGCTTTGATAAAATGTAATTTTTTTCATATATACATGACACATCCCACCTCAGCCCCTTCTTGAAATACTCTCCTTTTTGTCTCTCTACCCTGTGTTTATATTACTTAAGTCCTTAACAGAGGAAATTATCTTTATTTACTCTGTCTCCTTTTTTTCTAGCAGTTAACATTATACTTTGTTGGATACGGTTTTATTTAATTAGCAATTAAGGAAAGAGTGTAGATATATTTGCTACATTAGAGAGTTAAAGAATTTATTGGATAGATGCTTAGTCATCATCCAGTGATATTTAAGAAAGTTTAACCAGTGAAACAGAAAGTAATTACAGAATATAAAGCACAATGAAGAAAATAACTGAAATGAAAAAAGCAGCACAATAAAGAATTATAGATAAATTAGAAAGAAGGCCTCATGAGATATTTATCCTGATTCTTGAAGTATAAGTGGGAAACTCAAAGTCTGAAATACTTGAAGGATCTGAGAGAAAAGCACTTCAGGCAGGAGGAAGCAGTAGGCTCAAAGTGGGAAAGAGAGTGCAGTTACTGAAAAGAGTCATAGTTGTCTCTCCAGGTAGAGTAACCTCCCAGTAAAGAGAAATGTCAGTCTCTTCCATCATTTGCTAATATTTGCTGAACATTTATGATATGTGGCTACTGTTCAAGCTCTTCTTGAGCAACGTGAATTATGTCATACAGACTCCCTGAATCATGCTAAGATGGGATTTAATTGCAAGTGAAAAGGTGGAATTACTGAGCAGTGCCATAATCCTTCTAATAATTTTAAAGATCCCACTGACTACTTTGTACTTAGTTGATCAGAGGGGAATAGAGGAAACTGAAATAAATACTAGTTAATGTCTTATACCCATTCAAGTAGGCAACAAAGTTGAATGAGACTATGGTTCTTCTGATGGTAGAGATAAAAAGCAGTGGAAAGATTTGAGGTATATTTACAGGTCTTTTGTTTGTAGCTTGAATAAGGGGAGAACATTTTGAGGGAAAGGAAGGAATTAGATCAGAGAGG